ATATATAAATAAAACACAACTATTAGTAGCATTAGCTATAATTTATATGTAGCTCCATATTTCCTTAGGAGCCTTTGTCGTTGTTACTTAGTACACTTTGGTAAACTAAGTGAGAAAAATAGTCAAAGAAAAAAACAAAGAAAGGAAATCATTCCGTCCATTAGGAAACAAATTGGCATCAAGCTCAACCATGTTCAATTATACTCCAGTAATCACAAGATGGGAAAAGCGGGAGAAAAGTGAAGGCGGTTGCAATGGGAATGCTTACCTATAGAGTTTCTTCTAAGCTTGCAAACGCAGAACAAAGTGAAAAGCATCATAATAGCCAATACAATGGTCACCAGTGCTGTAATCACCATTGTTGTATTTCCATTAGCTCCATCCTGTTCAGCTTCACAACAAAATGAAGAGTTAATAGACAAAAAGTTGAGGTCGCTAAAGGATCCAAGAGATGATTGAAAAATGATCACTAAAAGGCCGCACCTGTTTCTGGAGAAGCAAGGCGAATATATAAATCCTGGTCATCAAAGGGAATCTGCCTTATATCAATTAAATCACCGAACCACATAGCACAACCACTTCCTCCTCCCCTGACATCTAAATTAGCATAAGCAGTACAAGAACAATTTTCCCAGCATTTGGCTTTGCATTCCACAAGTGTCATACTTGCATTGACCCAAGAATATTTAGTATCTGGCAATTTGAGCCCACTAAATTTGACAAAATAATCCCTGTTTTTTTCCTTGCAACTCCATGATTCATTACGGGTGCATCCTTCAGACCAGTCCATTGCATTCCATCTCTTGGGTGATTTTGGAAAAAAGCCCGTCAAGCACTGACAAATTGGTGTTTCACCCTCAACGCAGTTTCCATTAGGGCCACAACGGCTATATCTATCGCAGTTATCAATCGGTATATAACTGAAAGTGATCCACCTTTGATCTTCTTCAATCCATATCATGTCCAGTACTGAGTATAATGTCTGGTTCAAGACAAATCTGGTAATCAGTGACTCATTTCTCACATTATAAACGAAATACACCTCATCTTTATTCCAGACAAACTCTCCTTCATGAAGTGGATTGTTCGTTGCATGAGAAATGCCACTGAACCGGACACCATTCCAGGGACCACTCCTTATATACTCTGTTGTGCCCTGCCTGACTACGTCTTCAGGATAATTGTGTAGTACAAGTTCATCTGTAAGGTCTCCAAAGGAAGGGTCATCCCAATTCTTCCATGCTGTAAAACGTCGATTGAGACCAGTTCTGAGGTCCCATCCAAGCTTCATTCCTGGCAAAATTGAATCAGAAGGATAGTCAAAGCTTTGCCACAAATAGTTGTGAGGCTTTTGATCTTTCCCATCTCTTAGAACCAAGTTTCCAGAGCCTAAAAGCTGCACAATTGGACTCCAAGCTTTTGTGGTGGAATTTCCTGACCAAACAACTGTCTCGTTTTGGCCAAGAAGCACAAGATGTCCCTCTGTGTTTATTCTCAACATGCCAAAGTTGTTTTTGATAGGTCTGCCTCGGTTGGCAACCCAAACAACAGTTTTACCTGGGATTTTGTGGTACCAGACTCCAACATAGCGGTCTGTGGAACTACCAGGGCTAAAGAAACCCAATTCAAAGATTTCATTTTCAGAAACCAAGGTCTGGCCGTCAGGAAGAGACTCGAACTGGGTGAGGGTATCAGTTGCAAAAGAAAATCTAGGGAAGAACAAAAGCAGATTGGGAAGAACAAGCAAATAAGGAAGGATAGCCATGGATTCAATGAATTTGTCTAGCCTAGATTAAATAAATATACCCATGATCCTGATGGGGCACATGTTGAAAGGGCAGCCCACCAGAAGGCAGAAGTATGCGGGTTGACTTGGTGCTCTTGCAGTGCGAAAAAACTGTTCTCTTTCCTGCACAATGCAAGAATAAGATAATGACTTTCTGACATCGTATTCAGAATTCCAAACCCAAAGTTCAAATTCAACGTAATGCTTTCTGCCAACAAACTAACAGATCCTTGCACGTGTACTGAGATCCATCAAATGCTTGTAGCAGGGTCAGGGAAAGGAAGGATCAGGCCTTTCATTCTAAATTTTTATTGTTTTTTAGCAATGGATTCAACATAATTGATTTCTTTTTTTCGATAATGAACGTAATTGATTTCTACAATCAAGTTGTTCTTTGCTCCTTTTTACGTCAATGAAATTATCGTTTTTTATATTAAAATATTATACGAAAATAAAAAAATAATGATATGGTTATTATTTCTTAAAGAAAAACTAAGTGACAATCTATTAATAGATATATAGTATACAAATTTTGACGGGATCAAATGATCATGAATTAGTCATCAATAAAACATTCTTATCGTTGAAGTTGCAAGGATTTCAAGGGTTTCAAAGTTTCAATGGCAAATTCAATAAGATTTTGCTACCTACATTCCTTTTTGGGACCATGTAACAGCAAAAGAAAGAGGGAGAATTATTACGAGAAAAAATGTAATTGTCAAAAAACAGTTTCGCAAGTAGACAAACATATACCAATGTATTCTGATATAGAAAACAATGGTAATTCCGTATTATATTTATTTATTAGGATTTCATAATTCTCCTGAAAAATGATTCACATATGTTAGAGGAATTTTATTTTAATTTGCGGGGAAGTACTTTTCTTAAATGTTTTTGAGTTTACCAAACTCCTCCTGAATAAATTAAGGGAGAATTATAATGAGGTCCAAAGGAAGAAAAACAATTGAAAAACAAGTCCCAGAGGTTGTCATTCTCACTATAGGACTTGTCATTATAGGTTGTTGAGGTTGTTATTGGGACCTTTCGGTAATTATTTCTCTTCTATGGGATTTAATTGTAATTCTCTCATAAATTAATGGTCTTATTAAAAAAATAATAACTTGGCCTTATTGTTTAATTTGAATAGTGTCCACGCATGTTTTCTTGATGGTCAGCTTTCAAAATGAGTTATATATATCATATATACAAAATAATAATCGCTATCAAATATATAAACTTTAGTCATCATGTAATTAACGACATTAAATGTTTGTTTGGATTGGTTTAAATAAGTGCTTATAAGCACCTTTTATATAAATTGAGATAAATTTTCTCTCGCATACTTACCTCATACTCTGGAAATTACAATTAAAAAACTATTTAAAAATTATTCCAAAGGGGTCCTGAAAAACTGCAATTCAAATTCTCCGTTAATGAAAGGAATTGTTCACCTAATGTACACGAAGAGACAACTATTTGCCACCTTTCTTTCTTCTTTTTTTTCCCAGCGTGGTTGACAAAATAGTTTAGCAACAAGAAAATAATGCAGCGTAGGTGAAGGGAAAAAAATTGGAAGGGTTTTAATATTACTTCTCTTATCCTATTTATAAAACACTTCTAGTATATTTTAAACAGACCAAGAAAAACTTTAAACCGCATTAACTCCCCATTACAATACAACAACTTTTTAACTTTACGTCTATTTAATATATTCATCTTTAAGAAAAACTATCTACACTATTATAAATGAAAGACAAAATAATATATTTATATTAAAAATTTAATAAAGTGACTTATAAATAGGACCAAAAAAGTATTATGCTTGGTTTAGAAAATAACAGAATTTCACATTTTCATTTTAGAAAGAGAGGATTGGAAAATTTTGATTGATTGCAATTTTCCCAAAACCCTTAATAAAAGCATGAAAAAAGGCCGTCACCTAGGAAATTCCACATTTTCATTAAATTTACTTAAAAATAACATATTATTTATTTTATATAAATACGTATTAAAAAAAGTATTAGATTATTGCATTTGAGTACGGTTGATGGGGATTTACATTGGGTGTTCATCAGTTTTGATGAGCACCCAATGCTCATCAGTTCCAGATATGGACGGTCCAGATTTATTTTTATTTTTATTTATTTAAAATAATTATTTTAATAGGTATAAGATAACAAATAAAAATAATCTCTTAACTATCATTTTTTAAAAATATAATTTTTTTATTTGAAAATAATTATTTAATAATATTAAATCTAAACCGTCCAGATTACTTATCAGGTGATAAGCATCAGTGGTGAGCATCAAATGAGGACCCATGGAGGCAGCTAGACGACTGCGCTGGAAATGCAAGTGAACTATGTTGCGAGGGACAAAAATGAAAATACCAAAAAAAAAAAGTGCAAGTTTCTTTTTGGCCCTTTTATGTAAAATATATATATATATTTGTTGGGGGTTAAATAAGTCGTATTTTAGATTCTGAAAAGTATAAGGACGAATTACCATTCCCTTGATGAATTGATCTACTAAATGAAAATCAAACAGCCCAAGCAGGTTGACTTGGTGTACCTCAAGTCAGAATACCGCATACTTTACGGCTACGACAGGAGACTTTTCAATGTAGGAATAAGGTAAGATAGTGATGACATATTTGGAATTCAAAACAAAAACTTCTACTTTATTTTATATTTATCTGCCAATTACAAAGAGAAAGATTGGCCAAAATTCTTATAATACGATCAAGAGAAGAAAGATTCAGACGCTTTTTTTCCCTCTTTTCTTTTAAAAACAAGATATTGGACAAAATTTTCATCTGTCATCATCAACGTATATTTTCAGCTTGTCTAAATGTAAGGAAAATTAGTTTTATTATAAGCAAATAAATTCATAAAATTGTTCACAACATAATCATATGGTGAGTTTTAATCATTTCTACAACTGTGATCTTATTTGTTGTTCAATTCCGATCCCGATAGTTCAAACAATAAAAAAGTAAAAAAAAAAAAAAGAAGTTCTTTTTAGGATGCTACAAGTTAAAATTTGCGAGGTACCTATTATTAAACTTTTCTGGAACAAGTTCGTGCAATTTTCATGCATAATGTCTTCTTTCATTTGTCTGATGCAACTTTTTTTTTGAAAAAGGAAAAAATGGGGTAAAACACAATCGAAGAAGAAATTGTTTATTTAAACTCAAGCACAAAAAGAAGGGAGCTATTTAGAATCAACAATATCTTTCACTATTGCAAATACAGTCTTTTCCTTAAGAGTACTCTCATTAGCGGTCCAAAATCAAAGTAAAATTGACCTTACCTGGCTTCTAACAAGGTGATAGATACTTTATTACTTGAAAGATTTGTACGACTATTAGGAGATTCTCTCTTAATTGGGATATTTTCTAAAAGTAAACCAGCTTCTTTAGGTTCAGGTAAGACACCTTCACTACTCAACATTATAACAACAGATGTCATGTTTGGCCTATCATTAGCATGGTATTGCACACAAAGAAGACCGACATGGATGCATCGTAATGCTTCTGATTCAATGCAAGACTCCCCCAAATGTTTATCGGAGAATTCAAGTGGGATTCCCTCATTCCACAACCTCCATGCCTACAGCAATTCGAAACATTGAATCAGTAACCAATTTCAGCAATGATAAGAGAAAAGTAAGGCTCCTTGGTACTAACATGTCCAATAAGATTAATGCTTTGGCTTGGCAAAAAGGCTCCCTGTTTTTCATGCCACTCACTATTTCTAACAATATACTCCAAAGCTGAACACATCAGATTTGATGGAGAATAGCCCACGAATTGCGTATTCAGGAGCCATGTAACCACTATTATACATCATAAAGAAATTAATATCATATTCAGTTAATGTGCATATATTCAAAATAAAGATATCATAAAACATACTTACTGTGTACTAACTATTTGTCTTGTGTTATCTTCAATTTGATCTCCTCCAAATATTCTTGCCAAACCAAAATCTGATATTTTGGATTTAATTCACTATCCAGTAATACATTGCTAGCTTTGAGGTCTCTATGGATGATTTTTAATCTAGAATCCTGATGAAGATACATAAGCCCCCGAGCAATTCCATGGATAATGTGAAGCGCTTGGACCAATCAAGAAGTTTTCTTTTAGAACCTACAAATTTTCAATTTAATGATACTTGTCATTGTCCGAGAAAGAAATAAAAGAAATGGACGCAAGTCTGCAAGTTGATAGTTCGTTAGCCGTACAAACCAAAAATAAATGAATCTAAGCTCTTGTTGGGCATGTATTCATATATGAGCATTTTCTCCTCTCCTTGAATGCAACAACCAAGAACCTTAACAAGATTACGGTGCTGAAGTTTGGCACACAATTTGACTTCATTCTTAAATTCTTGCAGCCCTTGGCAAGAACTTTGTGAAAGCCGTTTCACCGCAATTTCTCGTCTGTCCACAAGTATACCCTGCCATTTTACCTCATATAAATGATTCTGAATATTAACCTCATAAATCAGCAAGAATAATTGTAAACTTTCACTCTTAGTAAAAGTTGATTGCATGCTTACCTTGTATACAGGACCAAAACCACCTTGGCCAAGCTTGTTGTCTGATGAGTAGTTATTAGTAGCATTAACTATTACCGCAAGGTCATAGATACGTTGCTCCGTATTTCCTTCATAACCTTCTTCATTGTTTATTGCTATCAAGGTTTTGAGCTCCATATTCCGTTAGATCCTTCTTCATTGTTGCTGTTAGCAAGGTTTCTTTGTTCAATTTTGGACATTAAATGTATTATATAAATAAAACACAACTATTAGTAGCATTAGCTATAATTTATATGTAGCTCCATATTTCCTTAGGAGCCTTGTGCGTTGTTACTTAGTACACTTTGGTAAACTAAGTGAGAAAAATAGTCAGAAGAAAAAACAAGGAAAGGAAATCATTCCGTCCATTAGGAAACAAATTGGCATCAAGCTCAACCATGTTCAATTATACTCCAGTATCACAAGAAGATGGGAAAAGTGGGAGAAAAGTGAAGGCGGTTGCAAGGGAATGCTTACCTATAGAGTTTCTGTATACGCTCGTAAAAGCAGAACAAAGTGAAAAGCATCATAATAGCCAATACAGTGGTCACCGGTGCAGTAATCACCATGTTTTATTTCCATTAGCTCCTCATGTTCAGCTTCACAACAAAATGAAGAGTAATAGACAAAAAAGTTGAGGTTGCCAAAGGATCCAAGAGATGAT